TGTCTGTTGCATACTTTTACCGAAAACTCTTTAAAAGCAAGCGTCAAACATCATTATAAAGTCGTAATCCCCTTTCCTATGTATGCTACAATCAGCATAGACACGAATAGCGTGCCGGATATAATGTATATATCTATATATATATATAAAGCATATTCGCATGTGATTGTGATTGCAAATTGAAAGTATTACACAGGAAATGTGCCCTTTTTTTATATAACATTTGACAATAGTTGAAATCTGTTTTGAAAGTGTCCAAAATTGCTTAAATTATTCCCCCCTGCTGCTGCAGCAACTCTTTTTTTCTTGATTTTTTCGGTGATTGCGTACTTTAAAGTTGACTTGGCAATTTTCCCACCTTTTTTTTCTTAAAGTTAAAAAAGATATTAAAAATGATTGCCATATATAACGCAGTTCTCACGCTGTCCCATAAAATATTCAAAAATTCAATTACACGAATCCCTCCCCCCCTTCGCACCCCGCACCTATTCTCCACACGGCTCGCTTTAGTTTGCTCAGCAATTTATGCAATCGACTTTTTGGTTTCAGTTTTGGTTTTGGTTTTGTTTTGTTTTTGGCTTTACATCTTTGGCTTTTGAGCCAAGTTTTTGTTTGTTTGCAAATCAGATGAAAAAAATAAAATCTGCATTTTTTCATATTTTTATTTGTCATGCCAAATTAAGCTTGTGCAATAATTTGCCGATTTCTTAAATGGCACACTTAATAAACAATACTCAACTGCACAGTTCAGCAATATTTGCAGCATTAATGATTAATTTGTAAACTGTTTAATTGACTTTAACACTTGTAACTTCTTTTTTTATGTGACACACTTTGTGAGAAGCGATGACGAAAGTAAAACATTTTGTAACTTTGGCTAGAATTGACTCTTTTTTTTTATTGGAAAACAATAAAAGAAAAGTGGCAGAAAACAGCAAATGGGAGCAGAGAGGCACCTAACAGGGCCAGAACTGTTTTGTGGCATAGGAAAACTCACAATACGTGTTCAATCCTCGAATTGTAAGATAACCAAGCAGGATTCTCATCGAAGGGTAAACAAACACGTACGCGGCACCAGTCATGACCGTAATAAAACCGCGATAAGAGTTCTTCGAACTGATAGGATAATGAGTCTAGACGCATTTGTAGCAGTAAATATGTGCCTAGATAATGTCCCAAGTATGATAAGAATAATTGTATATAGCTGTAAGATAATTTAGAAGTTTTCAATAAACCTACCGTAGCAATTCGGCAGCAGTCTATGCTCGATACTTAGACAACGTCGTTGTGCTCTAAATTTGCTCTTAGAACTTAGAAACGAAGAAATACTGGGCAGAGACTGGGCAGAGACACCAGGCCTCCGACAAGCCAGAGACAGATATCTTTTGGGTGGCTATAATCTTAAGCAGAAGATGCAGCATCCTAGGAATGCATGTTATGAGTTTCAAAGACAAGAAGCTCTCAACCCAGCAAAGATTCTCGCATTCTTCGTGCTAGAACTGGGGTTGATGAAGGAGCTATAGGCTCACAATAGATCGAGTAGCTCACAGTGCAGGTATCCCAATAGAATTAATAATAATAATAACAAACAGGAAATAAAAATGAAATATGAATTAATAAATATAATCAGAAGTGAGAAACTAAAAAGAACTACTAAATTAGGCACGCTGACTATTATTAAATACTCCTGCAGATGAAAGTAAGCCCGCCGGCATCTAAATTTCAGATACAAGTATTTAATAAATTTAAAAAAATATCATTTTATAATTGATTAGCTGAAGTTAATGATCGTAAGCAAAGTCAATTGAACAAAATGCAAATTTCGCCGCAAATAATCAATTTTTTTCTGTCATTTTATTCGATTTGACGATTAATGATTGACGATTGACGATGACGATTATAAGATATTTGTTGTGTGGGTGGTTTATTTACTAAATTTTTATTGTTACGCATGACGAGCAAAATGGAAAAAGTAAAAGTTTATAAAAAAATGAAAATGATGAAAAAGGTGCGTGTTGCTTTTGCAGGTTTTCTTCTACTATTTGTCGGTCATTAACTTGTTTTTTTTTTTTATTTTTTTGCCATCATTTGCAAATGATGAGCTGGAGGGGGGCAGAGCGAGAAAGAGAGAGAGAGAGAGAGGAAATGAGCGGGGCTGAGCTCAGCTCAAATTGGGGAGCGACAAATGCTTTGACACCGCATTCATCAATTAATCGAATGAAAGCGTGAAAAATGGCCATAAAACATGAAGAGACCCACAACGAAATCAATGAACTTCTCTGCTTGTGTGTCTTTGTGTGTGTGTGTGTGAACATGAGATAAAATTAAACGAGTAACCAAGCGAAAATAGTTGGCGTGCTCAAGATTTGTGCTTTCCTTGTTTTCATTTATTTATTTTTATATATTAATAACACAATCAAATTAAGTGACAACTTAATTGAACGCATGTCGCTTTTAGTGTGGAAAGCAATAAATAACAGTTTGACTAGCAAGCAGTGCAAGCAGTTTGCTTTTAGTGCTAGTCAACGTCGGGAAGATGATTGAGTATTGTTTTACTGGAGCAGTAATCCTAACTAACTAAACTAGTCCTACCAGAAAATAATTAACTCAGTTAAATCAATTAATTCTTGTATTTTGGAGCACCTTGGTTGCCATTGCTGCTTAATATAAGTTAGCTTAAAATTAAAACTTTATATAAAATAAATTTAAAAATATATTAATTAATCTAGTGCCACAAGAAAATCTGATTTAATAATATTTTGATATTACCTATTTAAAATTTGCAGTGCAATTTGAGTGCAAGTTTCATTTTATGTTGCACAAGAAGCATATTTTTCTATCTAAAGCCAATTTGTTTTTTTTTGGCTAATATCTTTCCCATCTGCTAATTAAAACTTTTTGTCTTTTGCTACTTCTTTTAACTATATGAATTTGTCAGCAAATTATTGTTTAAACTGTTTCCGTTTAAGCTTAAATAACTCTTTGGGTAATTAGTGTGGTTGGGTTGCTGCACTCGCTAAGCAGCGCATAACTCCTGTGGTTTGGGCACCCGCTAAAGTCAAGGCTAAAATCATTATACAAACAATTTAACTTCAATAGGCCAAAACAAGGCACAAGTACAACTATCCAGGCTGAAATGGCCACAGCGAGGGACAAGAAGGGGAGGCAGGGCTTAATGCCCCTCCCCTCCCCCCAGAGAAACAGTTATATATGTAGTACATATGAAAAGCGCACACAACTCGTTGAACATCAAAGAGTCGAGCGCGGCGAAATGGCAACGTGCCACTTTGTGGCACATAAACAACTTGGTGACTTGGTGTGAGTTCGTGGGGGTGGTGCAATGGTGGGCAGTGAGAAATGAGGCAAGTGTGCGGCTGTGCTTTGGGACATTATGTAGAACACGAGTAGCCAGCGGATTTTGTGAAATATAAAATACGTGAGATTTATGAGTAATGAGCATAAATCAGAATGAAAGTTGAAATTTGATTTCGCTTAAAGTACTAGAAATTATCCACTAGTAAGTAAGTAGTAAATAAGAGAAACCACAATATTTGCTCAACATATTCTTTTAATTACATTTTCAAATACAAATCGAATTTCGATTGGGTTAATTATGAATAGAAATCGAAGAAGTGAATAATATTTTAAAGAAGTTTTTCCCCTAAAAATTAATGTTAGTCTTTAAATAAAAAGTTCATAAAAAGGTACACAAAAAGGTTAATGGATAAAGACTCAGCGGGAAATATTTGAAATTAACAAAAGACTTTAACCAAACATGTTAAAAGTAAATTTGGCTACACCAAAGATTTTTATGAAACATTTTTGTTTGAGTTCGAGTTAATTTTTAGCTAAAAAGTAATTTCAAATGTTAGCTGAGAATTTGAAGCAAATTAAATTCACTTTTGAAGTGAAGATTTTTATCAGGCAAGATCTCTAGTTCCCTAAATATAAACTGATAACAGAACTTAAATCCACCTAAGAGTGAGTTAAAGTGGCAATTTTAAATTACATTTAGACTCAGCAAAAATCGAATATATATATATATATATTACTTTTTATTACACACATAACAACAACACACACCTCAATTGAATCACACAGTTTTGTGCCTCAACTTTTGCCATTGAAAATTAGTTGAGTTGTTTTCGCTTCGACACTTTACTTGGAAACAGGTGCCGCCCAACAAGTTCAACATAGCAAGTAAGAATATTGTAGTCGAGAGAGCTCGACTAGGAGATACCCTGAAAGCAATACTGTATAATTCGTGAATATATGATTCTCTAAACTTGATCTTATGTTCCAACTCCCTGACTCTATAGTCAAGATCGGCAGATATTAAGATGAACACGGCTATATAGACTCATTTGCTAATGCTAATCAGGAATATATATATACTTTATTAAGTCAGAGAGGTTTTCTTCTGCCTGTTGAATACTTTTGCTCAAATGTTTTATTAATTTTGAATGGAATGTGTACAAAATACCTTAAAATACATCTTAATTGTGCTGAGGCAAGTAATATTTATGCCACACGCAACAAAGGTGGTGGCAAGTAGGTACGCTAAGCTGTTGCATGCCCCCCCCAAAGCCTAATTAAACGCATTAGTATTAATTAGAAAAGTTGCGCGACTCAAAGTCAAAAAACTGGCAAAAGACCCAAAAATAGACCCAGGAGCTTAATTTGAGTGTGTGTGTGTGCTTGAGTGTGTGTGTGTGTGTGTGCGTGTTTAGGCCAAAAGTTTATTAACTTTTTGTGCAACTGTAGCAAATGTTTTTGGTGGTTTGTTGTCGGGCAGCAAAAACCGCTCAATCAGTTGTCAAACAAAAGTCAAAATTGGTTTTTGGTCTTTTGGTTTTTTTGGTTTTTAAGCCATTTGCGATGCTTTCACAAAATCGTCTCGAAATCGAATTGGAAAACAATTGAAATACACTTTAAGCCCAAAGCGAATTTCAGTTTTTGATTTGATTTTTGGTGTTTTTTGAATTTGATATAAAACTTACCTTCTGAAATGTCTGCCGACAAAGTCTTTGTGCCATTTTTATTATTTATAATTGTTGTTGCTGTTGCAACTGTTGCGATTGTTGCATTAATTTTGGTTGCCTTTTGTGGAGTTGTTGCCTTTGCTGGGACAGATCCTTTGCTCGCAGAGCCATTTATTACTGGGCGTTTCTCTGCAAAAAGAGCAAAGAGCAAAGAGAGAGAGAGAGAGAATTAGAGAATTTTAAGTTTCATTTTTTTTAGAATTAACTTACTGGATAAAAATTACAATAAGTATAAAGAGTATAAGTATTAAAAGTAGAATAAGTATTCCAAGTAGTACTAAAAGTATTTAAATGGTTCGCAAATTTATTTTTCTATTGCTTAGCTTCAAGTTCATTTCCCACTGCCATTTAAGGATTCTTTTAAAATGAACTTAATCCTTTTCAGGCATAAAACAAACCGTTTATCAATTCACACATCAAAATATAAATCACATCTCATTTACAGGCACAAATCGTAGCATATTTTGAGGCAGCCACAAAAATTGACCAACAGCAACGAATTTTGACTTATTTGTTGATGTTTAAGTGAATTTCTCAGATCACTCACGATTTGTATTGCTGATATTGATATCCGATTTGCAGTTGTACCATTTAACGATCTTTCCAAAAAAACAGAACTCCATTTTCTTCTCAAATAATAAAAAACTTACATTTTATAGTTAAAAATAAAATAAAACTGTATAATTTAGATAAATTACACTTGTTACAGTGCCTACTCTGAATTTGTAACAACTATAATTAACAAGAGCTAAATTTTTTTTCCTGTTTTTCGTTGCCTGCCTATCAAAGCAATGGCAGGGAGCGCAGCAAAGAAGAAAACAGAGCACGAAATTTGAAATAAACCAGTTTTTCAGAGTTTTTCAGAACACGGCAACAACAAAAATAAATACAAATAAATAATGAAATAAACACCTGCTGCTCGCTTTGTTGCTGAGGGGGACGGGGGAGCATTGCATGCCAGTTGCAAGCAGTGCAGCATTCTTTGTAGCTGCAGCATGTTGAGAAGCAGCAATAATAAACACTTGTAACGGAGTAAGTGCAAGCAGTGCAACATGTTGCTAACTGGCGAGTGTTGACAGCGTTCAATTTAGGCTTAAGAGAGTGCCAGCAAAGAGCAAATAAGCAAGCAGTGCAATTTGTTGCTAAGAGTAGATCAGAGCAGGCCAATTTATGCTTAAGAGAGAACTTAGCAATAAGAGCCAGCTTAAGGCAATGCAAGCGCTAAATTACAAAAATATTCGACAACAAGCTAGAATTCACTGAAAAATAATAGCTAATGAGCGTAAACAAATAAATAAATGCTGCCAGCAAGCAGTTGAGAGTGAAGACAAGCAGTGCACATGTTGCAGCAACATATGTGGTGCTCAAGCAGCTGATCGCCAGCGAATTTAAGAGCGCAGCTGCTCTCTTTGCATCTCCAAATAATTAGCATAATTTACTTTGATTTGCTTGAGAGGAGGAAAGCAGAGGGGGGCAGGAGTTAGAGCTGGAACTGCTGCTGCTGCTGCTGACCTCACTGCGATTATCTCTTTTATTTTTATTTTATGTATTTGTTTTCTTTTTTTATATTGTTTTAGTTAATTTGCGAGTGCACGACAAAAAAAGTTGTCGCGCTTTTTATTTGTTGTTGTTGTTGTTCAATGCTAACCGCAAGTAGCTAAAAGAAGCAGAAACAAAGGAGGTGTAGAGATAGGGGAGAAGGGGGTGGAGAGCACAAGCCAGAAGCCATAAATGGCTAGTACAAGTCTAGGCCGCAAATGTGCAACAACAACAACAATAAGACGCCAAAAACAGAAATAAACAAAAGAAAACAATAAAGAAGAAAAACAAAACAACAAAATACAGGGAGAAGTTGTTGCAATGTTGCGGCCAATGTCGGCGCTTAAAAAGGCAGCTGCCAAGGCTAACAACAAGTTAATGCAAACTGGCAAACTGGCAAAGAGGCAAGGAGAGAGTGAGACAGCAAGAGGGCATCCTTGTTGCAATCACTGCTCTCCACTCATCACTGATAAGCAATTAGCCAATGCTCAATTATAACCGGATCTGCACAGCTGTGATCTCAACTCCAACTGCAACTGGCAAAAGTGTTGACAAAATAAGCCGCCTTTCATCAACTCAACAGCAAAGTGCAAAAAAAAAATACGTGGGCCAATTCAGAGGCACGTTTTAACCTACGCGCATTTTATTATCATTATTATTATTGTTATTATGTGTGCACATCGACTTGAATACTGAGCAGTTCAATTGCAAGAATTACATTACAATTGCCACAAGCGATTTTAAAGACGGCGCCTTAAAAAGCCGCCAAAAGGCAACAGCTAAACGAAGCAGAAGAATTGCGATTGGCTCAACACGCAGTCAAACACAAAGAGAAGGGAAGAGAAGAGAAGAGAGAGGAGAAGCTGCATTTGCATTGATGTACAGTTTTTGGGCGCATTTTCTTAAGCAAGCATCGGTGGTTCAGTGGTAGAATGCTCGCCTGCCACGCGGGCGGCCCGGGTTCGATTCCCGGCCGATGCAGAAACAACTTTTTTTCTGCAAGATTTAATTTTTCTTATTTGTTGAGATTTTATTTTGGGAACTAGCGCAGATCTGTAAAATTGGTACAGCTATGCTAGGGGAGAAATATACGTATTCAATTGTAAGCTAATTGGAGGGAAACATTCTTCAACTGCCAGTACTGAATCTTATTATTATTCAATAAATAAATCTATTGTAAGCTTTAACAATCAGTAGTAGATATTACCATTTTAGATATCGGCCAGTTATCATATAGAAGAAGACAACATTTATTCATAATTATGCTACTCCCTAGAGAAGAATCTTTAGGAGAAGAATGACAATATATAGATTTGGCCTAGTTTATGGTTCATTAAAAATATTTAAATGGGGTCAGTAAATTGAAGAGCCATTAGGTTTATCAGTCAAAATTTTGACGCTTCCCACACAGAAGCATCGGTGGTTCAGTGGTAGAATGCTCGCCTGCCACGCGGGCGGCCCGGGTTCGATTCCCGGCCGATGCAAGAATAACTTTTTTGATCTAGCATACTTAAAAAAGCCCATTTGCTAGTTTTCCACTAATTAGAATATAATTATAGCTTAAAAATAACAACTAATTATTAAAAATAGTCACATATTCTGAGAAATATGGACTCTGAGATGTCAGAGACGTGCTTTTTGTCAATTCTCAGAAGAATGTGAAGTCGAGAGATCAACAAACCCACTTAATGCTATGGAATTTATTTAGTTTTTTGAGCTCAGTAAAGTCATAAAGATTTAGTTCGACAGACTAATCTCAAATCGTATACGGGTTAACTTAATAACGGCGTATTTTGTCGCATATATTATGAGAGCATCGGTGGTTCAGTGGTAGAATGCTCGCCTGCCACGCGGGCGGCCCGGGTTCGATTCCCGGCCGATGCAAATTTACTTTTTTTTCTTTTTTGTGGTATTTAGTAACTTATTGAAAGTTAAGACATATATCTTAAAAGTTGCGAATGCCGCAAATAGCTGAAGAGAAATAGTTTAAAGGAGGCCACTGCGTGTTGTCCAAGTTAAACAATAGACCGAAAATGGCTGCTCGCTTGGGAATTGTGTTTGCATAAATGCAAAACACGTTTGCAACAAAAGGTTGTGCTTCTCTTTCTATTCCTCTTTGGGTATTCATGTGCAAATAACTGGAAAAACATGCGCGATAGTGCGAGTAAATTAAATTTAGTCTGCTGGCTTTGCTTCTTGTTGAGTTGTTGTTGTTGCTTGGGGGCAATAAAAATAGAATGTCCAGATCAAATGCAGGGGGAACAACAACAGTAGAGGGAGTGAGGAGGAGAGGGGAGGTAGGGGGGAGCTTATGTACCGACGACTTAATGCGACAATATTTGAGCAATTTAGTTTCGGTGAGTAAAAATGCAAATTCGTCCATTTAAAGTAATTTATGCACAACTCACACAAAAGACGACGAATTAAGAAAATTAAAAAAGTTATTTTGCATCGGCCGGGAATCGAACCCGGGCCGCCCGCGTGGCAGGCGAGCATTCTACCACTGAACCACCGATGCTTGTGGCGCGATCCACACGAAATGGCCAAAAGACATTTGCAGAGTTCAAAACCGGAAAGTGGCGGCCAAAAATAGTTTGCAACTGGATTTTTTTATTTGTGTAAATCAAATCAATTCATATCAGCTGATAAATAAATGAAAGCACTCAAAAATCCACAAAAAATACAAAAAACAACCGACAGACGAGCGATAATGTAATTATGTATTATGCAATGCCAGATTGCTAAGTGAAAAATGGGGAAAAAAATATAATGTTAAGCAAGAAAGCATGAACTGGTTGCCAATTGTATTGAATATATATAGATGTGTGAAAGCAATATATAAATGGAATGGACTACATTATTTATGTATCGGAAAAATATTTAGATTTAAATGAAAAACGAGAAAAGAGGAAAAACCATGGAGAAATTTATAGATTTAGCTGAGCAAGTAAAATTCAAAAACTAAAACAATTAAAATTCATGAAAAGGCACAAACAAAATACTTAGCTTTGAGAAAGTGCCTAGCAAAAACCATACATAATAAAAGCATGTAGAAAAACGAGGAACTAAATCAATCCACGTCACATCAATCTTAATCGAGTCAACAGTGGTTACACTCAAAAAAGTGTCGCTCAACGAATATACACTTGGAAAAACAACACTCAACACAAACACTCTTTTTGAATGCCCTTTTCTTCTTCTTTTCAGTTAAATTTAAATTGCGCAATCGTTGCTGCTCCGGTGAGTGATGATGGTATTTGTGTGTGTGTGTGTGTGTTTTGTTTTGGGGTCATCACCTCGAATGATTTGCACAAAACTAAGCAATTGAGTTTTTGGGGGCACCCGCACAATGGGGGCGTGGCTAATGGCGCATAAACGGGGCTAGAAACTGCGAATTGGCCCAGAGACAGCTGGGATCTGAAATCAGAAAACTGAAAACCGAAAACCGAAATCTGTGTGGCGAGTGCGAAAACTGAATTGGCCCACAAAGCTGACTCACTGGCCAAAGTGACTCAGTGCAGCTGAAGGAGTGCGAATGATACACAGATACAATTGCCAGGCAGACAGATATATATATATATATATATATATATATATATACATAGTTGTGTTGAGCTCTAAAGACCCCCATCAAAGTTGTCAATGGCAGCTGCTGATGCGTTTCGTTTTGCTTGAAACTTTAAGGCGAATTTTGATGATGTTTTTTTGAGGGAGTGGACTCTAAATTTATCCCGATTGCGAAAGCCGCTGATGTCAGTCACAAGTATTCATATTTAATGGTAGTATTATTATGTCACACAAGCTGAACTCATAAATTATAATCACTCTTGATCATCAGCATCAACAGATGAGTACTCTTTGAATACTGAAAGTGGCTTTTGTTGTTTTTTATTCTCTCGAAATACTGGTGTTGGAGTCTGATGTATCAGATCTATTTATGATATAGTTGATAAGATGATAATTCGGTATATTCGAATAACTTTTTTCTTTATCTTTTACAGTTGTAAGTTTAAGGAGTTTATGGATACGTTTTTAGATAGAAAACTATGTCTTATAGCTTCCTCTAATTATTCAAAAATTGATTTGTGTAACCCGAAGTTAATTCAGTTCATATTTATTGGTTTTTTGTTCATGTTGCCGTCGTTTAATTAAATATTATTCAAATTGAGACACTATATTTGATAACTTGTAGTTGTGGTTGCTTAAAAGAGTATTAAATCGTTGGCAACCCCAGGTTAATTCAGTTCTTTCTTATTATTTTCTTTGAGCAAGACAAATCTTTCGCAGCTGTCAAAAGATAAATTAGTTTCCAAATTTGAGAACGTGCAGAAACTTCACAATAATAATCAGTGCACATTTTTTGATAGACTTCCATTTGAAGGCTATAGAATATCATCTACAGAATAGCGTTAATCAGACAGACACACCCTGCTGAAACATTAAACGAATCGTATAAGAAGTGACATAAATAAGAGGTTTACTTCTTGGAGAGATTAAAGATATATAAACCCCTTTGGAATTTTGTATTTCATTATTTTTGTTTGGAGAGACTTACGTATTGCGATTGGTGTTGGTGTTGTGGATTTGTTGCGTGTCGATTGTCCCTTTGTGGTCTGTTGGGTTTTTGGCGGCGGTCCCAGATCCGTTGGCGATATGCTCAAATTGCGAACATCTCGCTTTTTGGCTGCTCCTGCAAAGATAGAGAGACAGAGACAGAAGACAAACGATTATTAAGTGTGAACGCATATTTACATGTAATCGATATACACACACACATAGATATATATATATATATTCATATATATTGCATAATTTATGCGTAAACACGTCGAGTTTCGTTTTGAGCCGCATTTCCATTTAATAACTCAAACACAGATGCCGCCATGCACTTGAAAACGTTTAGTGTCGCCCCCCCTCGCCATGTAATTTATTTCAGTTTGGGGCAGTGGCATTCCCGCTATTTGCATTTCAATGTTTGTCGATTAAAACAAAGCACTTGCACATAATTGAAGTAACTCTCGTCTACCCCGCTGTTCCCCTCAGTATCCCTTCGTATCTCCTTTCTCCCAGCATCAGCAAATTTGTGTGTGAGAAATGAGGAAAACAAAAAAGGGGTGAAATTATTTGATGCTATGCGAGTGCATGCAGCCAACGCCAGGGGGCGCTTTATTACTGCAAACATAATGTACACAGGCGCATTATGACATCCAGACATAACTCGTTGGGCAGTTGTGTATACTGCAGATGATATCACATATAAAGTAGCAGCGTTGCTAAGTGGTTCCCAGCTTCAATTTACTCCAAAGTTCTTCTTTTTTTTTGGTGAGCAACTTTAAATTGAATAAAATTATGGTACTTTTGCTGGCGAGTGGCAACCCTATAAAGCATATTTATATATATGTGTGAGAATGGGACCGCTGAGTGTCTGTCCATGTCCTTGTGCCTATGTGAACTCAGCTCTTAGTGAAGCTGTTGCGCTGAAACTTAACAAGTGCACTTCCTTTTGCTGCAGATAGCATATGAGTAATCATACATCATACGAATCGAATAACTATATCTTATGGAAATCGATTGAAAAGCCATTTTTAAATGAGACAATATTTGTGTTATGTTTTTAGCAACATTTTAAAACATTATAAAAGATGACAACAGTTTAGTTTTTTTACAGGAAATCCCAGTTTATACGCTAAACAATCGATAAATTGCATTCGATACATTGTATTCGATAGGGCTGGCTTGTAAATAAAATAATGCTCCTGAGTTTCTTTTATTTTTGTCTCTCAACAGCTCCTGCAACTGTCATAAAAAATGCGAGTCTTTAAGAGGCAAATTTATCAATAAAACTGAAACCTGTACTTTAAACGATTTAATAAATTTTTAGCAAAGATCAAGCGCTGTAAGTCAATTCCAATATGAATAGTTTTTCTGATTAAAATTTATGAAATAGTTCATTTAAATTGGATTTTTGCTAGCCCTGAACAACTATTGGTTTAGAATTTGTTCTGTTTTGTTGTTCTCGCACTTTTTATTTGGTGTTGCAGCAACGTGTTGTTGCACAATGTCTGCATACAGTAGCTGCAACAATAAGTGCAACCAGCGCAACATGAAAAAATCAAATAAATTTTATTTTTAGCTGTCGGCTAATTGCACTGGACTCTCGACTCTCAACTCTCGGACAACGAGGCAACCACAATGTAAAGTTGCACGTGGCAGCCGCTGTGTGTGTTGCTGCTGTGTGTGATAGTTGCTGGTTTTATCTTTCCTGTGAAATGCCTGCACACTGTTCCACTCTACACTGCCCCACCTGCAACTATCTAAGTCACATAATCCCATTGCAGCTTATCAAAAAAAATGTAGACACAAAAAAATACATTTATTTTTTGCCATGACGACAAAGTTGAATGCTAAATATTATTACAGTTACACAGACAATGAGAATTATATTATTTTTTATATATTTTTTTTGGTCCTAGTTAAGCACTGCGTGGGCTTTATACAAGCAGCCATTAAGCGTACATGGAGCTCAGCCTGAACCACAGCAGGCAAATGAGTTTATTTAAGGGAAATGTACATTTTCCTCCCTTTTTTTTCAAGTTGAAACTGGACAGATTTTTCAAGCTGAGGAACATTTGAATGGGATTATACAACAGATATTGAGTTTCCTTGGACGCATAAAAAATGCCATTAAAAATGTTTTAATTAACTGTTAAGTATACTTTAGTTTTGGAGACTAATAGATACCCTGTGGGCGCAGCTGAAGTTGCTGTCAGCTATCTTGATTAACTTTGTGTTTAATATGCGAACAGTGCGAAATTTGCATCTAAAAAATATACTTTTTCAAATTATCTGACTGACAATTTTATATTTTTTTTTATGATGGTTGGCAAAAGTTTATTTGTATAAATTATTTGTATAAACAAAGTATGATTTGAGCAATTTTCTTACGAGTGCAAAACGTGTGAACTTCGCTGCAAAATGTGCCAATCATCGCTGGCTCAAATAACAATTCATATTTAACTCTTAATGGGTGTGTGTGTGTGTGTGTATGTCTGTGTGTGTGTGTTTGTTCACAATCAGTGGGATTTATATCACTTGAGAGTTCAAGTACACGTTGCGTAGCACTCACCTTTTGTCACGCTCTTCGAGCTGCGCTTGCCAAAGCTGCCGAATCTTTCGCGTTCGATCATTTGGCTGTGAATGTAGCGCTCGGAATACGAACGCGACAATTTGTCCTTGGAGCTGTGTGCACCCATTTTTGTAGCAGCTACAGGGTATCTGTTTTTAGCAACTTACTTTGTATCAATAACTAATCTGTTGTAGTTGCACTTTTACACTTTGCACAAACTGAGAGAGGCAGCGAGAGAGATTCTCCTACTCAGTTTCTCTATCTCTGTCGACAGTTGCGTTGAGAACTTTCATTTGTTGTTGTTGTGGTTGTTATTCACAAATGTTCATTTAATTTAATGTTTTATTCAGCTTTAGTTGAAATTTGCATTTTAATTGCTTGTAGTTTTCAATATTATTTTAACTGCAATTCAGATTTAAAATTTATTCGTTTCGCATTTTAAAACTATTAATTGCTCAACAAACGATTCAATTAGCCGCCTCATTTAATGGCCAAGAGCGCACTCAACCAGAAAAACGAAAGCCAAATATTGGGACTGTAGGGTATATTGAGTAGCTGGTAGACTAAACAAGAAGTAATCAAATAATATATATATATATGTGGAATGTAGAACCAATTTTATAGTTGTCTGCACAAAGAAATGGTTGATTTGGTATTATAATATTTGATTTGTTCACAGGGTATCTATCAGCTCTAGCTAAACTAAAGTACACTTAACAGTTAATTACGACATTTTTATGAAGCATTTAATGGCATTTTTTAAGTGGCCAAGGAAACTCAATATCTGTTGTATAAATTCCCCCGTCAAATCATGTGAAAATCACAAAGCCAAATAGAATAAACAAATATATTTTTGGAATAGATAAAAAAAAAACAAAAACAAATTTCCCACTTCACAAAAGGGGAAAGGCGCTGGAGAAGGGTAAGGAATTTCGCAAGACAAATGTCGTGTGAGTTCGTCTCTTGATAAATTGCCTCCGCAGATGAGACGACCTCAATTTTAACTCGTAGACTAGTCGTTCACAGCAAACGTTGTTGTTGTTGTTGTGTGGCAGGTGCAGCTCCAAAACAAAAAAAAAAAAAAAATAGTGACAGAAAAACAAAGAAAAAACTATTGCAAGAGGCCGAAATAAATCTTGGAGTGAATGAATATAGCACTTGTGAGCAGAATTTGTGCCTGCCGCTGACAGCACTTGAATGTCATCATAACTTATTAGCCAATTTGGAAAGGAGCGCACCAAACGAGCCAAGCAAGTGAAATGAGTTGACAAATTGCTCGCAACCATTTGTAGCACAACAACAACAATAACAAAAGTACCAACTAATAATTTCCCACTCACCGTAAGAAAACAAAACAAAAAAAAACTGGGAAATTCATGGTTGCAACGTGTGGCAGCATCAGGCGAAGCGCAACCTCATTGCTATTTATAGCACGGGTGTTCTCTTTATAGCTAGTGGATATTTAGTGGAACTTGGAGGGTTATACGAAGAAACTTCTGACACAAAATCTACAAGTGTGAAATGAAATATTGATGGAATTCTTTAATTTCGTTTGACTAACTCTGATCTTTTATTACCAAGTTAATTAATGCTGATAATAATATTTCTAGAACCCAAGACAATCTCTTAAACTTCTTAAAAATAATTTGTATTTTTGATTTAAGAAAAAAATTGTTAAATATAAATCAATATGCACACAATTTTGCTATAAATATTTAAGTGTGCTTATTATTTGTAGTTTTTATGACTCTTTTTTAAATTATTGTTGTGTTTTAGTATTTTTTTGTAATCACTGTTATGACTTATGAATTTAATTTGGATTTAATGATGCATTTCAACATTTGATTATTATCAAATTCAAAGACAACCAAAGACATCCGCAGACAACTCCACATAATAATTACTTGCTTGAGCAACCCTCGCATCGTTGAGGCAGCCCTGTAAATGTCACTTGGCCGAACCAGAGAACTATAATTAACCACATAATGTGTGCAAAGGTATTCCCAAATCGAAGTCAAGACTCAACCAAATGCTATGCGAAGATATGTTGGGGCAGAGGTAAGGAGGAACTGGAGGGGGGAGAGGGGATGCCGAATATCGCTGAGCAGCTCTAAATTTGGCGTTAGTCAATTGGAAAACTTGAGAGCATAATTCAGATGCTTGGCACATGATTCGGAAGAGCAACAACAACAACAACAACGACAACCAACTGACAGTAGGCAGCTTCAAATGCCGGAAGTGGATAGCGGAAGTTGTGAGGCCAATCTCAAGGGCATTTTCCAACCAATGATGTTGTCGATGCTGTAGCTGCATCTGTGGTTGGTTGTCATTAATCAGCGCCTCGTTGCTGCCTGATCAGAGTTTGTGGCAAGTGCTGCGGGTGCCGCATTTAATTTAATATGCTAAAATTGAATTGGACTTTTAATTAAATGCTGTTCGCTTGCGTGGGTGTCTGCAGTTTTTCCACACCCCAAATGCCATTTCCCAGCAGCAGCAGTAGCAGCAGCAGCAGTTGAAGAAAAACAGCAACTGCAGACAGGCATGCAAAACCAATTAAGTGAGCA